CATGAGGCCGCCCATGCAGCCCATGTTGCCGAACTTGTCGGAGCAGTCGACGAGGTTCTGCTCTGAGAGGCTCACCAGCTTGCCGTCCTTCAGGAAGTGCTGGCCCTCCAGGGACCCCGTCTGCAACAGAAGCCACGCTGTCCAGTACATGTTATTTCACCCAAGCAAGAAATTCAGCTGCTCACTGGCACAAGACCGAGGCACTGCAGAACAGGACCCACCGTGGAGAAGGCCCAGCAGGAGCCGCACTGCTTCTGGTCCTTGACGGGCGTCACGGCGCCCTTGGTGCGCCAGTCCACCTTTTCCGGGAGAGTCTCGTCGTCAGCCTTCAGGACGGCCGCCGGTCGACGGGTGGGAGCGCCGAGGAATCCGTTCATTGTGGCCACGATCTCTTCGGATGTCTAACGGAAAGGCAAAGGTCAATTCTTTTTCTAGTGTGTATAACAGTGCATTAAATCATGTCGCGAGTAAGAGAGATAAATAAAGCGGATGAGCCTACCATGTCGCCGAACTGGTTCATCTGGAGCGTGAACGTGACCTCGCCGTTCTCGAACCTGGCGTTGTGGTCGTCGATGAACTGCTGGTTCTGCTCGAACACCGACAGGCGGTAGCGCTCCTCCTGCACGCTGGCGTAGCGGCGGCCGTGCTCAGCCTGCGTCGGGAGACAAACCGTGAGGGTGCTTAGGAATGCGTACAACCCGTTTCACTTTTACTTTAGACGACTTTAAGTTCACCACTAGAAAATATATTATGAATGAACTTGTGCATAAAACTTTTGTGAAGAGACTTTGCATACCTTGAAGTTCTGCCACTGCTGGCGGAGGGACGGAGTGGCTACGGCCACGGCCACGACGCATGCCAATACTGCCAGGGACTTCATCTGCGAAAAGAGAAGTCGCCTTGTCAAGTTACAGAATCCCCTGACCTCCGACTATTCATAAAAGTCCACATTTCGGCCTCTCCATCAGTCAAACACGTCTTCATGGAAATTCCCCAAAGGAAGCAGACGAGACGCCAAGACCTAGCCTCACCTCGACGGACTCTGAAGCCGCCTTCCCCCTTCCACGCTTTTAAGTTCTGAGCGTGAGAGCGTCCGGGCCCCGCGACCTGCAGTGCGGCGCCGGGAAGGCTCTTATCGGCAGAGGCGTCGAGTGCAACGGCGCTCGTGGCAGGCGTCATGGTGACAGCGAGATTTTGAGTGCAATTCGGAGCTGATAAGGGCGTGTTGAGGAAGGTTTTTCATCGAGATTCAGTGTGCAGCGTTTAGTGAACTAATGACTGATAAGAGACGAATTAATAAATGAATCATATGTTGAAGCATGTTTACAAACAAAAACACACACGCACACACACATACATATGCATATATATGAACATGATATATATTTTATATGTATGTATGTATATATGTATGTATGTATATATGTATGCATATATATATATATATATATATATATTATATATATATATATATATATATATATATATGTGTGTGTGTGTGTGTGTGTGTGTGTGGTGTGTGTGTGTATGTATATGCACACGTAAGGGAACCAACACACATAATAGAGATAGATAGGAAGAAAGATATAGATACATATATATGTATATATGTATACATATAAGCATTTATATATATATATATATATATTATATATATAATATATATATATATACATACCATATATCTATCTATCTATCTATCTATCTATTCTATCTATATATATATATATATATATATAATATATATATATATAATTGTGTGTGTGTGTGTGTGTGTGTGTGTGTGTGTGTGTGTGTGTGTGTGTGTGTGTGTGTGTGTGTGTGTGTGTGTCCGTGGTGTGTGTGCGTGTATATGTATATGTTTACCATACATATAACTACATACATACAACGTTTTTTTTTTCTACAGATCTATTCATAGAAACACAGACAGGATATCAGTTGCTTTTTATTACACAAGTTGCCATGTGATATATTTGCGCACTTGGCTAATTTCTGTCGTTTTTTTGCTTTTATAAATAAAATGAATTACCGCCTGCATGATTGTTTTTTCTTTCTTTTACTTTCCCATATTTTATTTTATTTCTTTACTTTCTGTGTCTTTACAAGGGTGTGGTAGTTTTTCTATACTTTTTCGCTGTAGTTAGATAAAAGCAAGTAAATGTGTCCGTTCCCAAGTGATAGAGCCATTTCGGATGCGGTTTATATTACATTGATAAAGGGACAGAAATAGGAGATAAGTTAATAATGAAAAATTCTAAAGAAAATGTCGATTTTATCTTTTTCACTACGCCAGTCAAATGTTTTCCTGACTTTTTTTTTTTCTAATTATGGTTCATTATCACTTGATCGTGCCTAACATTAAATTTTGGACCTCACTCTTGTATTCTGGTATCCTCTTCAACATGTCAGAAGCTCCTATTACATTTGTACCAGTATCGAACTCATCATGCTGTCATTATCATTTTTTCCCCTTGCTTGAATACTTTCACAACTCTGC